CAAAACACGAATGGGTGGAATCCACAAAGCGACCTTTGTTATCGAGCCCATCCATCACATCTCCAATAGGTTTCCCAGGTAAATTAACTAATGAGACAAAGGAGCAGCTTTTTCTGGATCTTATGGAGACCATTCTGGAGGAACAAAAGAAAAGAAACAAAGAAGAGGAAAATATCGGCTATTTAGAAACGATCTTAGAATCCATGGGCCCGAACAAAGAAGACATTTTGAGGGATGAGCTTGATCACCTTCAATCCGTTCTTAATATACTGCAAGGTAGTGCACCAACTGGGCAGACAGAAGCGGTATCAGCTCAGCCAACAACAAACGTACTGACGCCATCCTCCACTGCCAATGCTGATAAAAATTTGCTCGATCTACTTGGAAACCTTCCAGTTATGACAGAGAGGCACGAAAACGAAAGTGGGCAAGAAGTTCAGGCTATTCAAGAAGTTTTTGAAGCAGTACAGGAGCCAGATCATGACGTCTTGGGGGAGGAGATCAAGAACCTGCTTGAAATTTTGATGCCTACTGGTTTCAGCTTCTCACAGAGACCTCTCTTATTAGCTATGTCTACTCAAACACCCGCAACAATGAGCAAACAACCGAAGCCGAGTACTAAGATAATACTATCAACAGTTGTTCCACCCTTAACAACGTCTCCTGACCACATTACGACTGAAGCAAAACGGCAACTGTTACTGGACCTTATACAAAGTGTAGAGCTGGAGAAAATGCCAAAGGACACCAAAATGATTCAGTCATTAGAGACAATATTAGAATCATCAGGGATCGACCAAGAAGACGTTTTGAGAGATGAGTTGACTAATCTTGAGTATATCCTTTCCGGGCAAACCAGTGTACCAACATTAATCGGTACGGGACCCGAGGAGACAAAAACAGTTCCGACGACTCATAAAATTGCGACAACATCCTCAATCGCTGTTGTAAATGAAGAGATGCTCGATCTGCTGGACGAAATCCCGAAGTTCGAAGAAAAGGACCAGACTAAAAGCAGACAGGAGGTTCAGAGCATACAAGATGTGCTCGAAGGAGCAAAAGAGCCAAAAAAAGGTATTTTAGGTGGAGAGATTAAGCACTTTTTGGAATTGTTCGCACCTCCTTCGTTAAACACCTCACAGAGGCCACTCTTGTCATCTGCACTTCATACAACTCCCACAACTACACAGATTACAGAAGTCGGCACATTTTATCCAGTCGAAGTAAAAAGTCCCCAGAGCAAAGAGCTCACAACACGTGCTCCAGTACCGACTTCAGGGCCAGACACTGTGGGCAAGTTTGTACTCCATTTTCTTCAAGAGGTCCAGAATGTCAGTCGCAGCCGTTTGCTGAGCAACTTCAAGGAAGACGTAGACGTTGTTGAGAAATTCGTGAAGGCAGGTAACATGACGTTTCAAGGGGATCTCGAGAAAGCAATCAACAAAATTGGTGCTCTCATGAGCAAACCTGTCAGTCAGGAGCCAACACTTAAGGTTGAAACCGAAACAGCCAGAATGGCAACTCTAGAATTTTCAGAAGTACCTGTTTACCCTGAAAAGTTCAAATCACCCACGCCCATGTCTCTAACACCCCAAGCACGGAGATTAGAGGAGACAACGGAGTTCCTGCGGACAAGAATCAGCGAAAGGACCACGGTGGCACCAATTTCCGAGGTTGCTGGCAACCAGGCTCTCCTGAAAATACTCTCCAAAGAGTCTAAGCCCGAACAAAAGCAGTTTCTGGAGGATGCAAAGGGGATGGAAGAAATTGAGGAAATATTTGCGAACCTGACTCAAACTGACGAGGAGGTACTCTTCGACGAAATCGCAAAACTCGATCAAGGGTTACATTACGGAAAACAACTCATTCTGCCTTACCACACCACTGAGGCAATCGCTACAGAAAAGTTAATCACAACAAACCTCTTGGTTACTCCATCCGTTTCTAATATTTTGAAAGCTAGTACAACCACTGGCAACAGAGAGGAGGAAACAGTTCACCCCACTGGAAAAGTACCGGTAACATCGTCTCCTGCTAATGCTAATGAAATCCTGCTAGATTTACTTGGAAACCCTCCAGTTATGGAAGAGGGGCACAGAACTGAAAGCGAACAGGAAGTTCAGGCTATTCAAGAAGTCTTTAAAGCAGTACAGGAATCAGATGAAGACGTCTTGGATAATGAGCTCAAAAACCTGCAAGAAATTTTGGAGTCTGCTGGGAGACCTCCATTGTCAACTGCCTCCACTCAAACACCCACAACAAGTAAACAACCAAAGCCTGCTACTAAGCCTTTAATATCGACAGCCGTTCGACCCTTAAGCTCCTCACAGAGAACTCTCCCGTCATCTGAACTTCACATAACTCCCGCAAGTACGGAGATAACGGAAGTAAGCCCGTCTCTTCTGGTCAAAGTAACAACTCCAAACAGCAAACAGCCCAATGCTCCAATACTGACTTCAGCGCCAGCAATTATGGGCAAGTTTGTACTCCATTTTCTTCAAAAGGTCGAGAATATCAGTCGCAGCCGTTTGTTGAGCGACTTTAAGGAAGATGTCGACTTCGTTGAGAAATTCGTAAAAGCGGGTAAATTGAAGTTTGAAGAGGATCTCGGGGAAGCGATTGACAAACTTGGTGCTCTTATGAGCAAACCATTTAGTCTGAAGCCAACACTTAAGGTTGAAAACGAAACAGCTAGTGTGGCAACTCCAGAATTCAAAGAAGTACCTGTTTACCCTCTTGTGCCCATCAGTACTGCAAAAGTTGAAGAGAAACCATCGACCGCAATGTCTGTTACCCCAGAGTCCGGAAATGAACAATTGCTAGATCTTCTAGAGGACTTGGGAAAAACAGAAGTGGAGATAAGTGAACAGGACCACAAAGTTGTTCAGAAGCTGGAAAAAATGTTAGTGGAAGAGAAGCTGCCACATGCAGATATCATGAGAGAAGAGCTTGAGCATCTGAACCAAGTTCTGAACCCTGAAAACTACTCCCGGCCGACAACTTCGTATTTACCTGTGACGTCCACTCCAAAGCAAGAGACAGTAGTGAGCACCGCGATTAGCAGAGAGATTGCGACTACAGAAGTACCTGAAATGTACAAACCATTGACATCCGGGTATCCAACATTACTGCCACGTCGATCAGAGGAGATGACGCAGACCAAGCCTACAAAAATCAGCGAAAAGACCACTGTGGTACCAATGTTCGAGGTTGCAGGAAACCAGGCATTACTGGAAATACTGTCCGAAGGGTCTAAGCTCGAAGACAAGCAACTACTGGAGGATGCAAAGGGGATGCGAGAAATCGAGGAACTCTTTGCGAACCTGACTCAAACCGATGAGGAGGTACTCGTCGACGAAATCGCAAAACTCGATCAAGGGTTACACTACGGAAAACAACTCAAGCCGGCTTACCACACCACTGAGGCGGTTTCTACGGAGATGGTGATGCCAACTAAAGTCCAGGTGGCTCCGGTAACTTTAGAGAGCATGGTAACTAAGACCACAGAAGTTTCGCCAAGCGTTGGGATAGCGGCTAAAGCCTTCTTAGAAACCCTCCTGCAGTTGAGGGATCAAATGGAGATAGGAATCGACTGGGATGAAGTCATTCGCCTGGGGGCATTCTCAGCGGGGCAGCAAAATGAGGGCGCCCAGAAAGATCTTGAGAAAGCGCTTAAGCTCGTTTGGGACATCATTAGAGGCGCTATGGTTGAACCATCTACACCTTCATCTGTTGTAACTACAGCAGTGTTTGAAGCTTCCACAACTATCGAGGGAGCCACCGAAATTCCGGCACCGACTCCGACTCCCACCGCTGAGAGTCCTACGCTGCAGGTAACCTCAAAGGCTGTCACCTCGTCCGAAGAGGAGGCGTTCCTGGACACAGTTCGCGATCTGGTCGGCAGGATCAGCCTAAACCTTCCGTGGGCCGACATCAAACAAGTTGGGGCACTTTCCAGGGCTCTCGACAAGGACGCCGAGAAACATACAGTAGATGAGCTGGGGCTTGTGGCTGACATAATGAGTGAGATCAAAGAATTGGAAAATAGGACAGCTGGTATTCCGCATGTGCATGTTCCAACAGTATCGTCAACAAAGTTCCACTTACTAACCAAAGCGACAGTTGGAGTACAGAAAACAGAAGATCAAACTTCAAGTAAGTGTTGATTTCAATTTTGAAGCCACCAAAAAGAAATTTTGCCAAAAAATGTAATAAAGTGGCATTCTCGATTCTCAGAATGAGAAAAATCATTTGCATTTACGAAGTTTTCGTTCATACCACTGCAGCTGTTACTTCAAATGCCTCATCTTTATCTACAGTGACAAAGTCGACAATGCCGAATCTCCTTACGAGGATGAAAATTGGAACAGTCCCCACATCCAAGCACTTCAGTAAGTAAATGTGATATATTAGATAAAATATATTACGTAAAGTACAACTACCTCATAACAATTTCTTTATTCTTGCAATCTAGACCCACCGTTACCCACGACTCCCTACTCCCCCGTGGACCGGTGGACGGAGTGGTCTGCCTGGGGTGACTGCTCGGCAACATGTGGCCTGGGCGAGCAGTCCAGGACTAGAGAGTGTCAACTTTACATCGAGGGCCTGGTCATCCCGTCCAGCAGCTGTGAAGGCAGCCGGACTGAGAATATGGCTTGCGAGACACGGCTATGCCCAGGTATTCATAT